TCTAGTATTTCAATGGCATATATTTTGAACAAAGGCCAGTCCACATTCTTTAAATTTGTACATTCTCTACAATGCACAGTCTAATGTCAAATAAAGTTTTTGCTGGTTAATGTCTTTAGACATGTTTTACATTTATACATTCAAAAGATCTGTGGTTTGAGTAAAGATAACGGTACTCTTTACAACTGTACATTTCTCACCAAGTCTCTGTTGTTTATACCTACATATATGATTTTCCAGTCATTAGAGATACTGAAAATTTAAAGTATAAATTGTCTGATGTTGATAAAACTTGGAATAACAGTGAAAAGGTTTACCCCATTCTGCCCATCTGTAGGGAATCCCTAAATATAGATGCTCGTATGTCTACCAAATATTAAATGAGAGCTAAAGGCTTTATCTCATTACTCTCATTTATATAGTTTCATCTCAGTATGGACTCTCATATGTCCAGCTAGTTGTAGATGAGAGCAAAGGGCTTACCATGTTTTTCATATTTGCAGAGTTTCCAGTATGGATGATTATGTGTCCAGCAAATCCATTGTGCGAGTGAATGGCTATGTCACATTCTTCACATTTGTAGGGTTTTTCTCCAGTATCAATGGACTTATGTTCAGTAAATACTTTAGTAAAGCAAAAATCTTTGCCACATTCTTCATGTTTGTAGAGTTTCTCTCCATCATGGTGCCTCATATGAATTGCAAATCATTTCAGAGCAAAAGGCTTTGCCACATTCATCATGTTTGTAGGATTTCTCTCCACTATAGATGGTCTTGTGTCCAGCAAATGCTTTATGAATGTGAAAAACTGTCACACTTTTCACATTTGCAAGATTTCTCAACAGTATGCATCTTGACATGTCAAGCAAGTAGTGAATGAGAGTGAAAAGCTTTTCCGCATATTTCACATTTGTATTGTTTTTCTCCTGCATGGATGGTCATGTGTCCAGCAAATCCGTTGTGAAAGTGAAAGGTTTTGCCATATTCTTTACACTTGTAGGATTTCTCCCCATTGTGGATGGTCTTATGTCCAGCAAATCCTTAATAGAGTGAAAGACTTTGCCACACTCTTCACATTTGCATGATTTCTCTCCAGTATGGATGGTCATATGTCCAGCAAAGCCTTATTAGAGTGAAAGACTTTACAACACTCTTCACATTTGCACAATTTCTCCCCAGTGTGGATGGTCTTATGTCCAGCAAATCCTTAATAGAGTGAAAGGCTTTGCCACACTCTTTATATTTGTGCAGTTTGTTTTTCTCTTCAATATCGATGGTCTTATATCCAGCAAATCCTCCATGAGTACAAAAAGCTGTGCCATACTTTTCACATGTGTAGGGTTTCTCAACAGTATGGATCTTGCCATGTTGAGCAAATAGTCAATTAGAGTGAAAAGCTTTTCAATATATATATTTCACATTTGTAGGGTTTCTCTCCAGTATGGATTGTCTTATGTCCAGCAAATCCATTGTGAGAGCAAAAGGCATTTCCACATTCTTCACACTTATGGTTTCTCCCCAATATGCACTTTCATATGTCCATCAAGCATTGAATGGGAGCAAAACGCTTGGCCACATTCTTCATATTTGTAGGATTTCTCCACAGTGCACATGGTCTTATGTCTAGCAAATACTACATGAGAGTGAAAGGCCTTGCCACATCTTCGCATTTGTAGGTTTTTTCTCCAGTATGGATGGTCTTATGTAAAGCAAATCCAAAGTGAGAGTGAAAGGCTTTGCCACATTCTTGACATTTGTAGGGTTTCTCTCCACAACACTTTGATATATCCAGCAAGCATTGAATGGGAGCAAAAAGCTTTGCCACATTCTTCACATTTGTAAGATTTCTCTGCAGTATGCATGGTCTTATGTCGAGAAAAACCAGAGTGAGAGTGAAAGACCTTGCCACATTATTCACATTTGTAGGGTTTCTCTCCAGTATGGATATTCTGATGTTCAATAAGCTTCAAGTACTAACTAAAGCATTTGCCACATTCTGCAAATTTTTATGGTTCCACTAAAGTATGGATGGTCTTATGGCCAGCAAATCCTCCTCAAGAGTGAAAGTCTTTGCTACATTCTTCACATCTCTAGGGTTTCTCCCTAGTATGGATGGTCTTATGGCCAGAAAATCCTCCTCTAGAGCGAAAGGCTTTGCCACATTCTTCACATTTGTAGGGTTTCTCTCCAGTATGGATCATTGTATGTTGACTAAGTTGTGAATGAGAGTGAAAGGCTTTGCCACATTCTTCACATTTATAGGGTTTCTCTTCTGTATGGATCACTGTATGTTGATTAAGGTTTGAATGAGAGTGAAAGGTTTTGCCACATTGTTCACATTTGTAGTGTTTCACTCCAGTATGGATCAATGTATGTTTATTATGGTTTGAACGAGACTGAAAGGCTTTGCCACATTCTTCACATTTGTAGCGTTTAACTCCACTATGGATCACTGTATGTTGAGTAAGATGTGAACGACAGTGAAAGACTTTGCCACATTCTTCACATTTGTAGGGTTTCTCTCCAGTATGAATCACTGTATGTCGAGTAAGATGTGAACGAGAGTTAAAGGCTTTGTCACATTCTGGACATTTGTAGGGTTTCTGTCCAGTATGAATGGTCTTATGTCCAGCAAATTCTCCTTGAGAGCGAAAAGCTTTGCCACATTCTTCACATTTGTAGGGTTTCTCTCCAGTATGGATCATCGTATGTCGAGTAAGGAGTGAACAAATGTTAAAGGCTTTGCCACATTCTTCACATTTGTAGGGTTTCTCTCCAGTATGGATCATCATGTGTCGAGTAAGGAGCGAACGAGTATGAAAGGCTTTGCCACATTCTTCACATTTGTAGCGTTTAACTCCACTATGGATCACTGTATGTTGAGTAAGATGTGAACGAGAGGGAAAGGCTTTGCCACATTCTTCACATTTGTAGGGTTTTTTTCCAGTATGGATCACTGTATGTTGAGTAAGATTTGAATGAGAGTGAAAGGCTTTGCCACATTCTTCACATTTGTAGGGTTTCTCTCCAGTATGGATCATTGTATGTCGAGTAAGGAGTGAACGAAAGTGAAAGGTTTTTCCACACTCCTCACATTTGCAGGGTTTCTTTCCAGTATGGATTAGTGTATGTTGAGTAAGATTTGAACGAGTGGGAAAAGCTTTGCCACATTCTTCACATTTGTAGCGTTTCACTCCAGTGTGTATCACTATATGTCGAGTAAGATGTGAATGAGAGTGAAAGGCTTTGCCACATTCTGCACATTTGTAGCGTTTCTCTCCAGTATGGATCACTGTGTGTTGAGTGAGATATGAACGAGAGGGAAAGGTTTTGCCACATTCTTCACATTTGTAGCGTTTCTCTCCAGTATGGATCACTGTATGTTGAGTAAGATTTGAACGAGAGTGAAAGGCTTTGCCACATTCTTCACATTTGTAGGGTTTCTCTCCAGTATGGATCATAGTATGTCGAGTAAGGCATGAATGAAAGTGAAAGGTTTTGCCACATTCTTCACATTTGTAGGGTTTCTTTCCAGTATGGATCACTGTATGTTGAGTAAGATGTGAAGGAGAGTGAATGGCTTTGCCACATTCTTCACATTTATAGAGTTTCTCTTCACAATGAATTTTCTGATATTGTGAAGGACATGAGTAATAGCTAAGGGCTTTGCCACAATTTTCAATTTTGAAGTCTGCCTCCCCCTTATGGATTCTTTCATGTCTATTTAGATAGGATGATTTCTCAAACCCTTTCCCACATATACTGGGTATATTTCCTCCACTATTTTTTTGATATTGAATACATTTTGAGGAACAGTTAAAGGTTTTGCCATATTCGTCTTTGAAAGCCATTTCAGAAATATAGATACTCTGGTAGATAACAAATTTGGAGGGTTGATGAAAGACTTTCCTCCTCTTGTTACATTTGTAATGGTTATTTATAACTTAGCATTCTATCTGCCCTTCACCCTCATGCACACTTACCCAACATTTTTGTAATCGTAAGTTCTTAAGGACATATTTACCATATTTTCCCATTGGCACCTTTGAAAGGGAGTCTTCTATACTATTCTCTGGCAAAAGGCCTTCAGTGTAATGAGAAGTCACAGCTGAAAATCATGAAAATAAAAATTTATTCCACATGTTAGACTCAGGTGAATATCCTTTGAAAATAAAACATAATATTATACCATGGTAAGGACTTAAGTCTGAGGGCAAGTACAAATCACAGGTTTCCACTCCATCATAAATATATGTACTTAAGAAAACACTTGCCCCATTGCCTGTGTGAGAACTCAAAAAACAGCTAATACTTTGCAGAATCCACATGATAAAATGAGTTACATGGAAGAGAAATTTTAGTAATTTTATCACCATAATTTCTCTTCCTTTACAATGCAGCATGATGTAATCAGATGGGATGTTCTAACTCTTGCATTCGTCCTCAGGGAATAAACAGAGGAGTGGAGTATGAGTCCACATTTCTGTCCTTTGAGGGATTATGCAAAGATAGCTTTCTGTCCCAACATACAGAGAAGACACATCCTAAGAACAGGTATAAGTCTCCTAGAATCTCTAACTTTGTGATGGGTGTTATATTAATCTAGACAAAGCAACATCATAAATATTATTACTTGTATTATCTTTGAATTTCAATTATCCCAATTCAAACAAAGTATGCCAAAGCATAGAAAGAATCAGAATAAATGACTCAATTAAGGGTACAACAATAATTTGTGGAGCTTTAAATTACAAAAAAGTTTGAGAAATTTCCATATGAAACGTGGAAACCCTTACTTGAACCACCACACTACTGCCTGCATCACAGAAAACATGCTGATAAAACATAACCATACAAAGGATTTGGAAAACATCCTTGATATTGATATTCGTCTTAGTAATAATTTTTTTTAGACTACAGGAATAAAAATAAATATAAACAAGTTGGAGACATCAAACTGAAAAGCTTCTGCAGAGTAAAGGGAAAAGGAATAAGGCTTACAGGAAAAGAAAAAAGCATCTGCAAACCATATACTTGATGAGATGTTAAAGAAAGAAAATAATCACTTGAATAAAAAACAACCCAAAAATGAATACTTATTTTACAATAGGACATACAGATTGCCAACAGGTATAAGAATTGGTTCTGAACATCACCAATAGAGGCAATTTCAAATAAACACACAATGATTCTCTCACAGATGTTAGAATGGTTAATATCAACCAGAAGAGAGACAGAGAACTTTTGATAAGAATGTGAAGAAACAGAAATCCTGTATACTCTTGGTGAGTTTAAAATTGATAGAGTCATAGAAAATTATCATCAACATCCTTTAAAAATAAAAACAAATTGCCACATAACACAGAAATCCCTTTTCTGGGTATATAACCAAAGGAAATAAAATCAGTATCAAAAAGAAATCTCCAACCCCTATGGGAATTGCAGCATTTGTCAAGATAGCCAAACTTGAAAACAACCTGAATATTTATGGAATCTGTATTGATTAAGAAAACAACATGCACACACACACACACACACACACACACACACACACACACACATTTGCACAATAGCATATGATCCATCCAAAATTTTTTTACATAATTCTGCAATTTTAACCTTATGGATGACATTGTAAGACATTATGGTAACTGAAGTGAGCCAGGCTCACACACACACACAAATACTGCATGAGACTGGGTACAGTGGCTCAAGTCTGTAAACTCATCACATTGGGAGACTCAGATGAGAGGACTGCCTGAGCTCTGGAGTTCAACACCACTCTGGGCACCTAGGTGAGACCACGGACCTATGAGAAATACAAAAATAAGTTTGGCATTGCAGTGCACACTTGTAGTTCCAGTTACCTGAAAGGCTGATATGGAAGAACCACCTGAGCACAGCAATGAGGCTGAGGTGGTCATTAGCATGCCACTGGATCCCAGCCTGAAGGGAGACTCCAACTTGGGAAAAAAAAATCCTGCATGATCTCACTCCTGTGGAATCAAAAAACTTTGCACTCATAGAGGAAGAAAGTACAACGTGGTCACCAGGGCCTGCAGCTGGGAAAATGGAGTTGCTTTTCAGTGGTTACCAAATTTGATTTATAACTGAGTCTTAGGGAACTAATGTGTATCATAGTGACTTATCATTCATAATGATAAGTCTCATAGGCTTAGAAAATTTGCTAAAATAGAAGACATTATGTATTCTCCTTACAAAACATAAAAATGGCAACTACATAAGATGGTTGATATGTCCATTAATATAATTGTAATCATCATTTCACACTGTATAGGCATATCAAATTATTACATTATTTACAACGCATGGTTATACATTTTTATTTATGTATAAAAAATCTGATGCTAATCACACATAAACATACATACATGTGTTTGAATATATGCATATATGAAGCTAGTCCTAAGCTTCATACTAAAGAAAATTATAAAATAAGAGTTATTAAGACACAAGTTAACATTTAGGAGTTTAATATATATTTACCAACCCTCTACATGATACAGTATACTTAAATAATTGGATATAAAGAAAAACTATCAGTCTCAGATCATACTATAAAAGTAAAATTTAAGTAAAATATCAGGATTTCTTCTATTAAGAGAGATAATTTAGGTAGGATGATTGAGTATGAATTTAAATAAAATGACTGGAAATCTCCCTAGTATAGAAAATCATAAATTAGAAAACATGTAACATGTGTCCAGAGTGTTCTTAAAATTTCTCAAACACATAACAAAATCACTGCTCACATACTTCCAACCATGATGCAAAAAGAAAACATAAAAAAGTTTGACATGGATTTCCAAATAAATAAGCAAATACTTGCATGTCTCCTAAGCATCAGAAAGGTAGTCAGATCATGCAGTTCCTAACAAAGCATTAAGTGGACTTTTATTTCCTCTGTAAACTTGAAAGATCATTGAAGAAGCAGAGTTTTTGGAGAATTTCTGAACATGGAATAACTGATGTCGCTTTGTGACAGGAAGAGAAAGAATCCCAGGTTTCTAAGAAACCATTTCCATTGGAGCAGACCACTTTCCCAAACCATATTTCAAGCTCTGATTCCTCAACCTGTGTCATCTGTTTCAATCACTCCCACTTACCTGGAAGTTTGACTAATGTGCCATGTCTCTTCACATCCCAGGGCTCTTTCTTTTTTTCCAGACATGTAATAAGGTCTGGCTTAGAGACAGCAAGTCCTGTTTAATTAGAAAAATGTAACATGACTCTTGCTAAATTTCTTAGATTACAAACCTAGTATTTGATCAGTAGAGAACACATTATACAGGATTCTAGAAAATTAACCACAAAACAGTTTCCCAGTAAAACCTCTAGAACATTTAGACAGAATTTTCAATTCATAGGTTTCCTTTTATTCTAAGTTAGAGTCTCACTATGTTCCCCTGACTGGAATGCAGTGTAAAGCTCATAGCCACCCCAGTGCTCACCTGTTGGGCTCAGGTAATTCTTCTCCCTCAGCCTACCAAGTAACCAGAACTACAGGTGTACATTACCACCCCCAGATAATTTTTGATTTAGTGTAGAGATGGGGTTTTGCCAAGTTGCCCAGGCTATTCTTGAACCAGTGGGCTCTGGCAGTCCTCTCAACTCAGCCTCCTAAAGTGCTCGAGCATTATGTGGCTGAGCCACCATGTCTGGCCTTAAATTTGTGAGTTCTCAGTACTAGTGAGTCAATAACTTATGGCAGCAATTGGAATGAGATGTGGGCAATGATATCTATGCCAGTAAATTTCTGACTTACCAATAATATAGTTAGAAAAACACTGGTCAATTTAAAATAGTGAAGGCTTCATGTCAAAATGAAAAATCATTAGTATTCATTTTTGATGTTAACATATTACCAACTTTTTGTTGATAGTAGAAATTTGAAATTCACTCATGCAAAGCAGAAATTCCCAGAAAACATTCTACAAAGAAAGGACATAATATCCTTAGTATGAAATAGGGATTATGTTTTGAAAGTTTCCTCACCTAGAAAAACCAGGTTTCTATGGTTCTCTAACATCACAGTCCTGTACAATATTCGCTGAGGGGAGTTTAGGCATTCCCACTCCTCTGGAGAGAATTCTATGGCCACATCCTTGAATGACAACAGCCCCTGAAAACAAAACACATATTTACCAGGTCACCATGGCCTCTAGGTAAAGCAACAGTGAAAAGAACAGGGTCCAGCTGACAAGACAATGATTATTATGCAATAAAAAAATTCATAACAAAGAAATATCCTCTGGCCGGATTCAGTGGCTCAGCCTGTAGTCCTGTGCTTTGGGAGGCCGAGGTGAGTAGATTGCCTGAGCCCACTAGTTCAAGACCTACCTGGGCAACTTGGCGAGACCTCATCTCTACAATAAATCAAAAAAAATACCCAGCTATGAAAGCGTGCACCTGTAGTTCCAGTTACTTGGAAGACTGAGGCAGAAGGATTGCCGGGGCCCAGGAAGTCGAGACTGTGCTTGCTGGGAGCAGCCACTGCACTCCAGTCTGGGTGACACAGTGAGACTCCAACTAAAAACAAAAACAAAAACAAAAACCAAAAAAACCAAAACCTAAAACAAACAAAGAAACAAAAAAACCCAGAAATATCCTTTAATGCATAAAGTGTTTAAAAAAAAGGATGAAATAAAATCCACTGAGCCAGTGTAGACTCCCTATTTTTGTGAGTGAAACAGCATAAAGTGGACACCAACACAGGCATGCACATTTTAAATTACTGTTTATATCAAACAGAATACATTACATATACTGCTCCTGGTAAGTCAGAAGATCCTTGGCAAGTTTTAACTTGTACAACAATGAATTGAATATCTTGTTAAAATACAAATTCTGATTCAGAATACATGGATTTAGCCTGAGGTTCTGTGCCTTTTTGTTGAGTTGGTGTGTCTCATTTTTATTTTTTGAATTGGAGTCTCACTCTGTCACCCAGAGTGGCATGCAGTGGCCACTCCCGGCCACCACAGGCTCAACCTGCTGGGCTCCAGTAATCCTTTCACCTCAGCCTTCAAAGTAGCTGGAACTACAAGCACCCACTGAAAGAAGTTAGGCACCAGTGATAACTCCACACCCGTTTAAGGCCAAGAGATTTATTAAAGCAGTGGCTACAAGGGAAAAGGGAAAGGGCCTGTGGCCACGGGATTGGGGAGAGAGAGATGGGGAGAGAGGGCGAGAGTGTGTGTGTGAGAGAGAGAGAGACGAAGGGAGAGAGGGTGAGAGTGAGACAGAGAGAGAGAGAGAGAGAGAGAGAGAGAGAGAGAGAGAGAGAGAGAGAGCAAGAGAGAGTTATGCAGGCGGAGGGGTGTATTTATCGGCCTGACAGGGTCTGGCCAGTGTCATTTTTGGGTTTTATTGGAGGAGACTATGAGGTAGTATTCCTATAGGGAGAAGTTATTCGAGCACAGGTTTAAACTTTGCACGCAAGGGAAAAGTTGGAGTTTAGGGCCTTTGTTGTCTTGGGTGGCAGCGCCATCTTGGGGACACCCTTCTGACTGTTCTCTGTGCCCTTCATTCCCACCTTTTGTTTATTTGGGAGAGGGGCACCGTTACTCTTTCTGGCTGCTTCCTGCTGGATGTGGGCTTTGTGGGGTGGGGCGGGATAAGGGCACAGTACCAGCCAGAATAGGGTCCAGAGTTAGGCACTGAAGGTGAAGATTTTTGAAGGTGAGAGTTCCATGAAAGTTTTTTGTAAATGTAGAATGGCGACTTGTTCTGGCCAGTCTTCCATTGGGCCCAAGGGCGGTAGTAACCAGCTGTCTTGGAGTAGACTGTGGAGGTAGAGAACCTGGAAGAGAATATATCTAAAAGAAAAGTTAAGTGATGTTTAGGGACAAGGTGTTGACTCTTCTATTGGGAAGGCTGCCGTTGTATCAGAAGAAGAAGCCAGGTGGGGCACAGGTAATGTTGACAAGTGATGGATGAGTTGAGGTTGTGAACAGAGGAATTCCTGATAGTGGGGGGACATGAACAGTAGGATTTTGTGTGTAGGGGGTGGTAAGATTTCCTATGAATGTTACTGATGTAAATGGGGGTGACTGAGGGCTGCACATAGGAAACAGTTAGAAAAGTTGCCTAGATGTGAGTAGTTGAGAAATCGTGCTCCCTGTTGGACTACTGAGAGCCAGGAAAATGAGGTGACTTTGGCTATCTGTTGGATGGAGGTTTGTAATATTCACCATTGAGGTGGGTTAAAATTAATAGGGGCGGGAGGGTTAGACTGGTAAACATAGTGTTGTAAGAGGTTAATTTTATAAAAGACACTTAATAAGATCCAAAGATTTGCCTAGAGGGGATGGGATAGGATGCTGTTTGTCCTTCAGTATAATGTTTGAATGCTTGTTAATTGCTACATTGAGGCCAAAAGACTAAGAATAAGCTAAGTTTTTTTTTGGGGGGTGGGGGTTTATAGGTACCTTCCATTTTTCACTTCTGCCCTTGGAAATATTTTTATAATCTTGGGAAATGGGGTGAGGATCATTTTTTTGCATCTACTTTCTGCTGAGATGAGGCCGTAGTGATGCTTTTCTTTTTCATTCTTTTTAAATTTTATTTGTTTTCCAAAGAGTTGGGGCCTTGCTCTGTTGTCCAGACTGGTCTTGAACTCCTGGCCTCAAACCATCCTCCCACCTCAGCCTCCCAAGTGCTGGCATTACAGGTGTGAGGCCCCACACCCAGCAGAATATTCATTCTTTAACTGTGTGTGGCAAAGCCAAGATATCTCACCATTCTGATTTTTTTAAAAAAAGGAAACCACAGTGTCCACAAACCACTAATTTATGCTATTACATTTTCCCTGCAGAAGACGGCAAAGCCAGAGATGGGGGAGTCACATTTCAGCCACTGGCACCTCCCTAAGGACAGACCCTTCCCCTCCTACCAACATCCTCAGTTCTGCAGTCCGACCACAGCTTGCCTGGACTGCTGGTGTGCCCGTGGACCGACACCAGGGCTGTGGTCCAGGAGGCAGGAGAGAAGGTCACTGATCTACATCCACGTGGCTGGGCAGTGCCCACAGACCTGCCCAAGCTGTCCCCACAAAGCCAGCCTCAGGGGGCATGGGAAGAGCGTGATCCTCGGTGAGCACACCAGCTATGCCCAAGATTCTGCCCTGAGAGGGGCTGCCCAGGATGGGAGGGTCCCCAGCCTCCCCATCTCGGCCAACGTGCTTATGCTAATTTTATTTAGGATCTGGCTGGAAAATAGAAAGCTGTGGATGTAGTGGCAAGGGGGGTGCAGGGAGCAGGGGCCCTTGGGCATTGACCCAGGGTCACAGGCTCCAGACTGTGACCAGAAGTGTAAACACCAGCAGGAGCGCCATCCCCATAAGGGTGGACCTGCTGTTGTCCAAGTTGCAGAGGTAGCGCTGGCAGCAGCTGTATTCCAGCTGGTTCTCACCCAGCAGAGTGGACAGACGGTTGAAGCTGCAGTCGTCAAGCTTCCAGCACTGGTGGTATACACATGAGCCAGCTTTGGCAAGGACACACGAGTCAAAGTTGACAGAGCAGTTGGCGACGGATGTGCAGGAGGGCACTGGGTTGATGCAGCTGTAGCACTTCAGGCTGTCACCTGAGCACCAGAGGATGGCCAGGACCAGCAGGAGCCCGAGCAATGCTGGCCCTTCTTGTCTTCCCATGATGACTATCTGGGACCTGGCAGGGTGGCCTGCTTTCAGCTGCGTGGCCTCTGCGCTCAGCCGGCGGAGCAAACCGGGCCCCGCGATGATTTTATCTATTTATTTTTAAGGGCATGAACAGGAAATGGCAGAACCTTAAGCAAATGCTATTTGGATTTAATAAAACATTAAGTGAGAGCATACGCAAAGATTATTAAGTAAACGATGATGAAAAGAGTTATTGTCCCAAAACACAATGTTGGAAAAGTGAAAGTTCCATAAATTGCATATATTTATTAACATAAGTTGAAATTTTTTTTGGTAAATTATCTATAGTTGTATTTTAACAAGGAAATATAGCCACTTTGATAGAAAGATTGAAAACATTAGAGACATGTAGTTAGGTTATAGCTTAAATTGAGAATTTAAAACAGGTAAACGTTGGCAAGAGAAAACAGTTTCCTTTGTTTTTACAATAGGTCTGATATACTTTTACAACAATTGGTATGTTAGAGAGTGAAGCCCAGGTTATTTTGCCACCCATGTTGGATAGTAATCTTTGTGTCTGGAAGGAGATTTTAAAGTTTGTTAGCAATTTGGCAGCGCTGTTAGTGAAATTAATTTACCTGGCCTTTAGGCAATTTAGAAGGGGGTGGGGTAGGTGTGGTTTTTGGAGCTTGCTGTTTATCTCACCCTAGAGACTGAATCCAGAACTTGAAGAGTTTAAGTACCAAAGTCTTAAAAAGCATGTTATAACACAAAATCACAGTAGTTATTGTAAAAGTTATCTATTTAGCCAAAATGATAGTCCAATGATTTTGAAAAGAAAAAAACCTCGCTCTTCTGTGACAAAGACAGAGGGGGGAGGGCTAATGTTGTTTAAAGCAGGGAAAAAAAAATTTTATATTTTGAGATTGTTAATTAAGAAGCTCATGTTCTGGTCTTTGAGTAGCATGTTGGCCTAGCATTAATGTAATTGATATTAATGGTAAATTTATGGAACCTTTTTGAAGCCTGAGTGTTTATAGAATTCTTTTTACTTCTTTTTACAAACTTTCACCTACCATGATTGATAAACTCACACCATTTTTTGACATGCTTAAATCTTCTATTTTTGTTCTACACTTTTTTTAACCAGTCATTTTATTATAGAACAAAAATATACTATATAATATTGTTTCTTATACAATTATTTATCTTTCCATTATCCTTTCTTACTAAAAACATACCTTACACCAACAACTTTTTTTTTACATTTTTCCTAACCTCAGAGCTTTAACCAAAGCAATAAGTTTATATGCAGTGGAAGGGCTTAGATAGGATCCAATGTGAAACTATTAGGGAAATTTAAAGCTATACAAAAAGCACCCAAAAAGCACAGTGGTGATGGCTCAGGGTAAATAATAATATGAGTTTTAATTTTTGTCATAATGTCCCTTTCCAATAATGGAGCTGGACATGTTGGTATAAGGAAAGAGTGTTGAAATATTTTATTTCCCAGAACACATGGAAGTAATGACATAGTGAAGGGCCTGGATATAATGCCCTGTACCCCCACAACAAAAAGGGGTGAAGGAAGGAGTGGACCAGAAATTTAAGTAGAACTGAGCATGTAGCCCCGTATTAATGACAAATGATATAACTCCACCAGCTACTAATATTTTCACCCCAGGTTTGGTTGAATAGTTTGTTCCTAAGACATTGGGGCTACCAAGTTAGGGGCGAGTCAATCTGACTGGAGCAAGCCCAAGAGATTTCCTTTTGAGATCGTGTAAGATGCCTGGTGTCCCTTAATTGCAGTAAGCCTCTGGGCCATGGGCTCTCCTCCTTCTGGGCAAATGAGGTAATCATGAGCCCAATGTCCATGCTGTTTGTGTTTGGGACAGGGTTTTGCTGGTGGGCAGATCTTGACAGTCTTTGGACATATGTCCATCTTGATGGCATCAGAAACAAACCTGGGAAGGGGATTGTGTACCCCTTCTGCTATTGACCATCTGGGGTGGAAGATTATCAGTGGTGGCTTTTTCTGCTGCAGTGGTAGATAAAAGCTGAAGTGCTTCCTGCTTATGTTTTCTTTCCTCCTCTTGGTTGTTAAATATTTTAAAGGCCATGTCCAATAGCTCTAGTTGAGAAATTTGTGGGCCTTTTTTTAATTTTTGGAGTTTGCGCCTAATACCCGGTGCTGACTGGGAGATAAAATATATAGTCAAAAGAATTTGTCCCTCCACAGAGTTTAAATTAATATTAGTAAACTGCTGCAATGTCTCAGAGAGGCGACTTAGAAACATTGCTGGATTTTTATCTGGTTTTTGAAAAACCTGTTTTATTCTGTCTTAGTTAGCCTGTTTATTAACACTTTTTAGTAGTTAGCTAACAGGATTTATTTACATGATTTTTTTTATTTTTGTCTGGGAAGAAGCTTGATATAGTGCCAGTTTAGATATAATTTGAGAGAAATTTATCATAAGAAAACAACAAAGACTTGTTGCAGCTGGTAGGGCTGCTATCAGGTTATCAAGCAGTGAGGGGAGGGGGGTGAAAAGCCTGGAGTTTGGGATTAGGCATAGTGGCCTTTGGCACCGGCTCCTCCTACAAAGACAAAAGAGAAAGGCTGGAGGCCAGAGTTAGGCATCCCAGTTTGGAGATGGGAGATGCCAGCCCCTCCTCCAAAGACAAAAGAGCTACAGTGGGGGAGGGGAGTTTCCAGGAAGCACAGACACATGTGGAACAGTGGGAGGGAGAGAAGCTGTAGAGGGGGTATTTACAGAGGAGAGAAAAGGACTGGATGTGGGGAATCTCTACCCACCATTTTGAATGCTCACAGAAATTATATAGGCTGCTGATTTTGGTTGTCTAAGGGATATGTTGGCCAGTTCTGTGTGCAGAGGCGAATTAGGCATTTGGGCTTGATATCGGGAGAGGGAGAGTATAGTGAGATGAGTTAAGAGGCATTTAAGAGGGCAATCAGCCAGCAGGGATGACGAGCCTCCCATGGTGAGACTGGTAGACTAAATGGGGCATCCTGCAAAGAGTCAGCTGTCCAAGAAGTGTGGATGTGGCAAAGTGTGTCATCACAGAGGTTTGGCACAACCAGGGTTCTCCTGGAGAACTGAGGAGATCAAGGCACCTTGCACAAGGATTTTTGGACCAGACAAAAAGCACTTAACTGGGCAATGGGTAGGAACGTGTTCGAGATTCCTGCCGGTCTACTGCGGGGCAATAGACGTGAAACCTCCGAGGTTTACTGTTGCCCGACAGATATAGGAGTCCTTCAGAATCTGCTGTGGGCCAGCAGACATGGGACCCTTGGGGCCCACTGTGGGCTGACAGCTGTGGGATTCCTTAGTGGGGGGAGAGAAAGAGAGAGTTTTATGGGATCCACTGTGGGCTAGCAGACGTGGGACCCCTGGGGCCCACTGCAGCCCAGCGACTGTAGGAATTATAAGGTTTGAGAGAAATGAAGAGGAGGAAAGAGCCTTTAGTTGTAGATTGGCAGCCATAGTGTTTTAGGATTTGAGAGAGAAAAGGAGAAGAGGAAGCCTTCAGGATCCACTGTGGTGGTGAAGGCTGAGGTGGGGTGCTTTCTCCCTCACCCAGGGTGATCAACGGTCAGTTCCTTCTGGGGGGTTCCAGGCAAGTTTAGGCTTCTGTGTCTGGGGAACTCACCTATCCAATGACCACTGGTGGATGCAGTTCACGCATTCAAAACAGTGGGAAGGTCTGGGTGGGCTGGAGGGGACACCGGCACAAGGCTGGGGATTCCGACTATGGAATAGACCCACACAAGGGTGGGAGAGCACCCTATCTGAGTCACGGCACCAATGAAAGAAGTTAGGTGCCAGTGATAACTCTACACCCATTTAAGGCCAAGAGATTTATTAAAACAGTGGCTACAAGGGAAAAGGGAAGGGGTCTGTGGCCACAGGATTGGGGAGAGAGAGAGAGAGAGAGAGAGAGAGATGGGGGAGAGAGAGAGTGAGAGAGTGTGAGAGAGAGAGAAGGGGAGAGAGGGTGAGAGAGAGAGGGAGAGAGAGCAAGAGAGTATGTGAGAGAGTAAGAGAGAGTGGGAGGGAGGCGAGAGTGAGAGAGAGAGAGAGTAGCGGGGAGAGAGAGAGAGCAAGAGAGAGTTAGGCAGGGGGAGGGATGTATTTATGGGCTTGACAGGGTCTGGCCAGTGTCATGTTTGGGTTTTACTGGAGGAGACTATGAGGTAGTATTCCTATAGGAAGAAGTTATTTGAGCACAGGTTTAAACTTCACATGTGAGGGAAAAGTAGGGCCTTTGTTGTCTTGGGTGGCAGCGCAATCTTGGGGACGCCCTTCTGACTGTTCTCTGTGCCCTTCACCCACTACTACACCTGGTTAGGTGTGTCTCATTCTGATCTAGCCTAGGGTGCCCTGGCATAAACACACCTTATAGCAGTCTTGATCTCCTTGGCTAAAAGAATGCATCCTCCATAGCATCCCATGTATTTGGGACAAATTGGTATCAGAAGTCAAGGCACATAGGTGGAACACAACATCCATGCAGAGATTTTTTGTCAAAAGTTATAGTAATTTATTATTACCTTTTGAGTTGGAGTCTCACTCTTCTCACCCAGGCTGGAGTGCAGTGGTAAGCTCATGGCCACTTCAGCCTTGATCTGCTGGACTTAGACAATCCTTCTGCCTCAGTCTTCCAAGTATCTAGAACTACACACACATGCCATCATGCCTGGCTAGATTTTGTAATTTAATGTAGAGACAAGGTCTCACCAAATGTCCAAACTGTTCTCAAAATGCAGGCTCAGGCAAATCTGTTGCCTCAGCCTCCAAAAGAGCTGGGATTAAAGTGAATCACCACAACCATCCAATATAGTAATTTATCTCAATTTAATAACAAGCAAGCTCGTATTACACAGAAATCAGTCTACAGGATCTCCCATGGCATGTCATCCCTGAAAACGTATTTATACTTTTCGTTTTTGGCATCCTAGAGAGCAAGTCTTTTCTAATTATTCTTTTTTTTTTTTTTTTTGAGTTGGAGTCTTACTCTGTCACCCAGACTGGAGTGCAGTGGCCGCTCCCAGCCACTGCAGCCTCGACATGCTGGGCTCCAGCGATCCTTCCACCTCAGCCTTCCAAGTAGCTGGAATTATTCTTTATTCAGACTTTCCACAGTTATTTTGGGCAGTAACTGCCATCCTGTTTGCATGTACATTTTATTAACTGTGTTCTGCATGGAGCTGTTGGAGAATCTACACAGAACCTTAACAGTACATGTTCTCGCTAGGAGCTGAGGCTCATGCCTATAATCTCAGCATGTTGGGAGGCTGTGGCAATAGAATTTCCTTAAGCCTTGGGTGTGAGACCAGCCTGGGCAACTTGGCAATACCTCATCTCTACATTAAATTAAAAAATTAACTAGGCTCTGGTGGCCATGAGTGTGCCAATGCATTTCATTCTGGACAACAGAGGAATATTCCAAATATATATACAAACACATACACATGTTTCTATCCTTCATTAGGATCTGAGGATCTACCCAATTTTCAATGAGATTCTTGGTTACCATGCCTTCCAATGACCCCCAGTAACAAGGGATCATTTTTAATAATGCAGGTCATACATTAATGGTGAGAACAGTTTATGACAACTAAGTAGTATGGTTGAAGAGAACAGAAGAGGCTATGTAGGAGCAGTGTCCAACAGACCCATTGAATATCACAGGAAGAATAAAGATAGTTGAAACAAACTCATTAGGTAGGACAGTAGCGTGGTTTGCAAGTTTTACACATATGACATTCCTTCTGATTTGGGACATATTTATTTACCTGAGAAACTGCCATTTTTTTCTTTTTCCTCCAACTTCACTGGGATTTCTTCTCAGATGAGATTATATAATCAAGTTACACCTACATTTTGAAAAATATGCCTTTACTTATTTCAAAATTAAATGGAATGTATTTATTTTTCCTAGTCTTACCACCCTCTTGGGAGCCACTCGCTTGCTCTCCTGTTTCCCTAATGTTCTCTTTGATTTGATTCTTCCACCATCTCCCTGAGGTGAGTCTACTTTGTCATTTAGGATAGTTTTCCTTCTTTACAAATGCAAGATAATTCAGAGGACAGATATCAATTCTGCCTTTGCCCCTCAAGAACAGTGATGTGTCTACAAGTGCACAGAAACCGGTCACCAAACTAAAATAAATTTTTTTAGGTTACTAATTTAATAATATAAAACTTAGACCTAATCAATCCAAAATGGGGCAGTCAACCCTCAAAAGTTCAAGATAACTCCATTTTAGATGGTGGTGTGGAGGGGGGATCTCTGGCCTCTTTGTGTATTTCCATGTAGCTAAAATAATTTTGAAATGTTGACAAGGTTGGCACCAGTATGCAGCTGTCCAGACTAACTCTGGGAAAGTGGGAGTATGTGCACTAACTCTGTTTCATTTAATAAAGGAACAAGGAGACTGTGAACCAAGGACAAAGAGAATTCACCACTTTCTAGGACTCCTCTCATCACCCAGATGTCTGCAAGTCTAAGCCACATCTTGATCTTAGTCGCTCTCTGTCCCACCTCCTGGATAAAAATTTTGAAAAAGCACTCATGACCCAGGAGGGGTCTTTAGGATGCCGTCCCCTCATTTCCTTGGTTTTAGTGTCCCCACTAAATAAAGTCACAACCCCTGCTCCAGCTCCTTATGTTGACAACCGGATTTGGACCTGGTGAACAAATATCCAATGACACTGACAGACCCTAGAGATTTCCACCTTGATAATTCAGATAACGACACTGCAGGACTGTCACCCAAAAGCACTTGCCCATCCCAGCTTCCCCTTGCCCCTTCTCAAATTCTTTCCACCCAGGACCTCCAGGATCCCCACACCATGAGTCCTTGCTCTTTATGTGTTTCTGAACTCAAGAACCGCTGTTGGCCAAGAGGCCTCCTTAACATTGTAATGGAGCCACCAGTTACTTGGAAAGCTGAGGCAGAAGGATCGCTGGAGTCCAGCAGGTCACAGTAGCCGAGAATGGCCACTGCACTCCAGTCTGGGTGACAGAGTGAGACTCCAACTCAAAAAAAAATTATTTTTTAATGCTGAGTTTAGTAATAAGAATATAACTCTCCACGGACAAAGAATGAATTTAGCCATATGAATTAGTTACAGTTTCCTGTTACTTGGGTAAATGAGGAGTAGGTCTGGAGAAATACACTAGTAGATAACAGATTTACCACCATATTACAAAGCCACTAGAGAAAACAGATCAAGTGGTCAATGTTCCTATACCCAGAAACTTCCAACTGTTATAAAAGGGTAAATGGTATTGAATCAGCCCCATGTAGTCAGTACAAACAAGGGAGTTGTCCATAGTACCTGACTTTTTGTTGAGTTCTGATATGCTGCTTAACAGAGCATTCACGGACAGAACTGTTGCTGTTTTATTATTATATCTGTTGGTTTGTCACTGTTAAAAATAACTATGTAAGTTTTCTTTGTCTGTTGTTTTTTCTGTTGTGCCTAGGATGGAGTGCAGTGAGACACACATGGCCACTGCAGCCTTGACCAGCTGGCCACAGGCAATACTTCCTCATCAAACTTCAGGCATGTGCCATCATGCCCTGCTAATTGTTGGATTTATTGCTGAAATGAAGTTGTGCCAAGTTGGCCAGGCTTGTCTGGAACCCCTGGGCTCAGGCAATACTCTCACCTCATCTTCCAAACTACTGGAATTACAGGTGTGAGTCATGGCACCTAGCTATCCCCCATGGGATCCTAACATTAGGCAACATTGTCAGGCTGAGACCTGCCAGATATGTTCGTGAAAAGTTGAATTCAGAAAGGAGATGACCTGTCCTGCTCTGTTTGGATGTGGTCAGGCAGGTAAGCCAGTAGCATCATGTAGTCATTGCTATAGCAGAAATTGTCAGTATTTCTGGCAAGGGAGGGCACTTGTGGGAAGGAAAGAATTAACTCACACTTTGCACTTCTTGCAGGAGCTCACTGTTTTTGAATCTGTCTCTATGACAAAAGACAGAGAAAGGGAGACTTTACTGCCCTTTCTGGACCCCCCTGCCTGTGGGTGTGGTGGTACCAATGAAAGGATTGTGCTTATGTGAAAGGCATATACTGGTTGCACATCATCACTTATGCCATGAATCCTATCACTTAGGTAGGCTGAGGTGAGAGGATTGCTTGAGGTCAGGAGTTTGAGACCAACCTCCACAACATAGCATATTTATGTAACTATAAAAATAATTAAAGAAAAATTAGCCAGAAGTATTAGCAAAGGCCTGTAGTTCCAACTACTTTGGAGGTTGAGATGGAAGGCTTACCTGAGTCCAGGAGTTCAAGGCTGTGGTGAGTAATGATGGTCCCTTCACTTGTGCCAGGATGACAGTGAGACTCTAATAAAAAAATAAATATGTTCAATTTAATTTTAAAATAAATAAAGGTATATTTTCAACATGTAGGTGTGACTTGTCCAGATCATCGCACCTGAAAAGAAATCCCAGAAGGCCAGGCTGGGTGGCTCAGGCTGTAATATGAGCATTTTGGGAGGTGAAGGAGAGAAGACTGCCTGAGCCCACGGGTTTCAGACCAGACCAGGGAACTTGGCAAGACCTCTTCTCTACCATACATTAAAACTTGGCCAAGAATCCAGGCCAACCCCAGCACTTTGGGAAGCTGAGGTCTCCTGAGCCCATGGGTTCAAGGCCTGCCCAGGCAAATTAGTGAGACCTCATCTCTACAATAAATCAAAAATTAGCCAGGAGTGGTAGTGTGCACCTGTACCTTTGGCTTCTTGGAAGGCTGAGGCAGAAGTATCAGCAGAGCCCAGCAGGTTGATGCTGCAGTGAAGGGGAATGTACCGCTGCACTCCAGTCTGGGTGACACAGTGAGAATTCAACTTAAAAAAAAATTGGCCATGTGTAGTTCAACCTGTAGTTATGGTTACTTGGAAGTCTGAGGCAGAAGGATTGCCTGAGCCCAGAGGTCATTGCTGGGGTGGCTGTGAGCATGTCACTGCACTCCAACCTGGGCAAAGGAGTGAGACTCTAATTGAAAAAAAAAAAATTACAGAGAAGCTGAAGGAAAAGGAAAAAAAAGTCTAGTTCTCAGGTAAATGTGTCCCAGGTCAGAAGGACTGTCATTTTAAAACTTGTAAACCTCACTGCTACTTGTAATGGTCTTGCCTAATGAGTATTTTTCAACTATTTTTGTTCTTCCTGATATTCAACAGTTTTGAAGAACATGCCCACCTACATACCAGAGGCTCCACTGTTCTCAGCATCCTTGGTGCCTAGTTGCTATGAACTGTTCTTACCATGAATGAATGACCTACAGTATTAACAATGTTCCCTTGTGGTTGGGGAACATAGCAACTTGTGGATATCCAAACTTCCCATTGGAAATGGGGTAGATCCTCAGATCCAAGCGAAGGATGGGAATATGAACAATTAGTATTTCACATGATGCTGGGCTTAGTGGCTCAGACTGTAATCCCAGCACTTTGGGAGTCCAAGGTGAGTGGACTGCCTGAGTCCACGGGTTTGAGACCCACCTGGGCAACTTGGCGAGACCTCATCTCTACAATAAATAAAAAAATTAGTCAGTCATGGTAGTACATGCTTTTAATTCCAGCTACTTGGAAGGCTGAGGCAGAAGAATTACCGGAGCCCAGAAGGTTGAGGCTGTAGTAGCCACGAGCAGTCACTGCATTCCAGTCTGGGTGACAGAGTGAGACTCAACTCAAAAAAAGTAAATAAATTAAAATAAAAAAATAAAATAAAAAAGATTTCACATAATGCTCCACGAGCTCCATGGAGAAACAGGATGGCAGTTACTGCCCAGAACAACACAAAAATGACTGAATAACGAATTATTAGAAGAGAGTTGCTCTTTAGGATGCTAAAAACAAGCAATAAAAATATAGTTTTTGAGATTACACACCATAGGAGATACCTGTAGATGAATTTCTTTGCCTAGGACATGTTTCTTTATTATTAGATTGATATTAAAATATACTATTTTGGGGCCTATAGATCTCAGCATAAATGTTGTGTTGCACCTGTGTGCATTGGAACCTGATACCAATTTGTCCCAGCATCCTTCAGGCCAGGAGATCGTGGCTGCAATGAGCTGTGAATATACCACTACACCCCAGCATGGGTAAGAGAATGAGACCACCCAACTGAAAAAAAAAGTGCTGAGCCTCAGGCGAATTCCAATTCTGAAGCAGAATTGGCATTTTAAGAAGATATTCAGGGCTGGGCTCAGTGGCTCAGCCTGTAATCCCGCACCTTTGGGAGGCTGAAGTGAGTGGATTGCCTGAGCCCATGGGTTCAAGAACCGCCTGGACAACTTGGTGAGACCTCATCTCTATAATAAATAAAAAATCAGTCAGGCATGGTAGCACACGCCTGTAGTTCCAGATACTTGGAAGGCTGAGGCAGAAGGATCGCTGGAGCCCAGCAGGTCGAGGCTGCGGTGGCTGGGAGTGGCCACTGTACTCCAGTCTGGGTGATGGAGTGAGACTCCAACTCAAAAAAAAAAATAAAGAAAGAAGATATTAGCCAGGCTCGGTGGCTCAACCTGTAATCCCATGCCTTTGGGAAGCTGAGGTAATTGGACTGCCTGAGCCCGCGGGTGCGAGACCCACCTGGGCAATGAGACCTCATCTCTACAATAAATCAAAAAAATCAGCCGAGAGTGGTAGTGTATGCCTGTAATTCTGGCTACTTGGAAGGCTGAGGTGGAAGGATTGCTGGAGCCCAGCAGGTCGAGGCTGTGGTGACTGGGAATGGCCACTGCATTCCAGTCTGGGCGACAGAGTGAGACTCCAACTCAAAAAAGCAAACAAACAAAAAAAAGAAAGTAGATATTTAGTTCATTTTGTACACATTATAACTTGATGAGGACCTTCCAACCTACTGTGAATTTTCCCTCTGAGCAGTATATGCAACTTATTCTGTGTGATGTAAATATAACACTCAAAATTCTACATGCCTATGTTGATGCCCAAATTTATGCTGTATCATTTACAAAAATAGTGTGTACACTGGCAGAGTGCATTTCATTTCATTCTTTTTTCTCAGACAATGTATTTGAGAATATTTCTGTGTTACAAATTTTCTTATTGTATAATTTTAGTTGTCAGCTGGATCCTGGCTAATTTTTTTGATTTATTGTAGAAATGAGGTCTTGCCAAGTTGCCTGGCACAGTCTCATAACTGTGGGCTTCATCCTCTCCCCTCGGCCTTCCAAAGTGCTGGGATTATAGGCATGGGCCACTGCACCCAACCATAGATATTTAATTTTTTCCAGACATCTATCTATATCTTGCCTGAAATTTTTAAAAACTTTTCAACCTGTATTGATAAAATACATTTTACAGTAAATAACTGGAGGTAAAATAAGTGGATCCATTTTTTGTTGAAGGGTATAAAACCAGGAAGAAGAGGAACTGACACAGAGACCAGCCTGAATCAACTGTCAAGTCAGGCCATCCTATGACTTGGGATGTCATCTTTGCAGCCCTGCTAACTGAAGTTCCTGATGACTACACTCTCAGGAGACACTGAAATTGCTCTACCGTGTGCCTGAGAGGCTTCATGTGGGTTCTTGCACCTTCTCACTACGTGAGATATTTTATAATTTGGGATCTTTTTTTGTTTTTGAGTCAGAGTCTCACTCTGTCACCCAGACTGGAGTGCACTGGCATGCTCCTGGCCACCGCAGCCTCGACCAGCTGGGTTCTGGTGATCCTTCCGCCTCAGCCTTTGTAGTAACTGGAACTACAGGCACATGCTACCATGCCCGGCTAATTTTTTGATTTGTTGTTTAGCTGAGGTCTCACCAAGTTGCCTGTGTGGGTCTCAAACCCGCGAGCTCAGGCAATCCACTCACCTCGGCCTCCCAAAGCGCTGGGATTACAGGCTGAACCACTGATCCCAGCCAATTTGGAATTTTTTTATTTTTTTCACAAGTGAAACATAATCCAGACTGAAAGTAGGGACTCCAAGAAACTTAGAATAAATTTAGTTTACATTTTGCCTCAGCATCACCATTTTTCCTTAGACTGACATGCTTTGAATCAAGCATAGGTTAAACATAGTTAATTTCCAATAAGCAGGTTTTAGGAGGCATTAAGACATTTTAAGATTACATTTTTCTGCAGGCCAAGAGGCAGTCTACCTCATTTCCCTCAACAAATACTCCATCAGATGAAAAACCAGAGCAATCCAACAACTCAATCTTTCAACTCAAGGTTTACATACTATCTCTAGGAAACTTTCAGGTTCCTTGTTAAGGGGGAATCAAAGATCACCTCTTGGCTGGCTGAAGCCATAGAAATTATACTGAGACCTCTCTTTGGTCAAGAAGTTTGTGGATTTCAAACATCTCACAAGTCTCTTGTTGGAAAACCCCTTTCCTTTGACTCCTCCCATGTAGCCCATCACCTGAGGGCATGAGATGCTAATGTCTGGCAACCAGCAAAATATAAAACTCATGTGGCTACAGTTTACATCAAAGAACCATGGCCCTGGACAGTCCTGTGGGCTTAAATCCCCCTTCCTCAAGACCTTTAAAAATCCCAATTCTTGGCCATTCCACACCTCAATTTTCTCTATCTGCACCCTTTCCAATGTGTGAAAGATGTTTATTAAAATTTGCTTCTTTCTACTTTCTCCTTTGTTGCAATCTTTCATTATTCCCATGACAATAGTCCACCTCACCAGTTTACACTTTCATGGAGGACAGGAATCATTTCTGTCTTTCCCCTCAATACGAGCAATGTGTGGAAAATGCAAAGAAGCCACTCACCTAATCAACTTAAATGTATTTTCTATAAATTTTTATCTTCGAAGAAGACAAATCTTTGACTAAAACAACAGCAAATGTAACCATGAAATGTCAAAATAAGGCAGGGTATCTAGCACAGGTAAGAAATAGATAAATTTCCCATAGGCTGCTTTTAGGAAGCATTCAGACATTTTACTGTAGACCAATTTGTCAACCTTTCCAAATTTGGGCATATCTAAACAAAACCTCATAATATGTAAGACTAGGACAACTCCATAATAATAAACACTAAAAATCTTTCAGGACAGGTGCGGTGGCTCATGTCCATGATCCCAGCACATTGGGAGGAGGAGATGACAGGATTTCCTGAGTATATAGTTTCCAAAACAGCTGCAGCAACTTGGTGAGCCCTCATCTCTCCAATAAATAAAAAAATTGGTGAGGCATGGTGGTGCACACTTGTGGTTCCAGCTACTTGGAAGGCAGAAGTGGTAGGTTCATGAGTAGGTTGAGGCGGTGGTGGCCATGAGTGTGCCATTGCTCTATAGCCAGGGAAAACGGTGACACTCCTACTAAAAAAAATAAAGGCTGGGCTCGGTAACTCAAGTTGTAATCCCAGCACTTTGGGAGGCCAAGGCAAGAGGATTGCATGAACCTGCGGGTTCAGGGCAAGCTCAGGCAATTTTGCAAGACCTCGTCTCTACAATAAATAAAAAATTAGCCAGGTGTGGTGGCACCTGTCTGTAGTTCACATAACACAGTAGGTGGTCACAAAATTTTTGATTAATACATTATGTGAGCCGAGCTCAGTGGCTCAGTCTGTAATCCAGCACTTTGGGAGGCTGAGGTGAGTGGATTGCCTGAGCCCGCGGGTTTGCGACCCGCCTGGGCAACTTGGCAAGACCTCATCTCTACAATAAATCAAAAATCAGCCGGGCACACCTGTAGTTCCAGCTACTTGTAAGGCTGAGGTGGAAGGATCCCTGGAGCCCAACAGGTTGAAGCTGTGGTCGCCTGTAGCAGGTACTGCACTCCAGTCTGGTGAACAGAGTGAGACTCCAACTCAAAAAAAATATATATACACATGGGTCTCAAACCCATGGACTCAGGCAATCCACTCACCTCAGTCTCCCGAAGTGTGATATTGCAGGCTGAGTCACCAAGCCCAGCAAATTACATGTATTTTATGAGTCTGAGTATCATTCCATAACCCAGGCAGGCATGAAGTATCTCCACAGAGCTTATCACCATCTTGACCTCCTGAGCTCAACAGATTCTTCCTTCTCAGGCTCCCAAGAATCTGAAACTACAGGCATGTGCGACCACTCTTGGCTAAATTGTATCAACTTTTATAGCTACATGCATTTGCTATGTTGTCCAGGTTAGCCTCACATTTCTAGGCTCAAGCAATACTTTCTCCTCTCTCTCTCCCACCACTGACCTGGACAAAAACCCCAAAAAGTATACAAAACCCGAGAGGGGTCTTGGCCCCTCATCTTCTCGGTTTTAATGGTCCTCTAAATAAAGTCACAGCCCATGTTCCAACTCCTTGCAGAGCAGGTGGGGATTCAAGCTTCCAATAAATTGGGCACTATCTACAGGGAAGCCAAGGATCCCCCGAAACTACTCACTGGGAATGCCTAGGAGATAAGGGGAGGTGCACCCTCCACTAGCCCTAAGGAATGTCATTTGGGAAGGTGCAGAATTAGAATCCTTGTCACGCCCAAGGCTATGAATATATGGACAGAAATTAATGGGTTTCTGTGTCACCGGATCTTCAAGACATCTACAGGTGACACAGACATCAAGACATCAAAAAGCAAGTCATGGCAGTCACATGCAACATCTCCAAGAAAAGAATTTAAGCCAGAACTCTGGGGGGCTACAAGACCACACTCACCTAGAGTGTAGGCCCACGCCCTGTCTGTGGGGGATGAATTTTCTTAAATAATCTTTTCTTCTCTCACCTCTGTGTGTTGAAATTCTTTGCAATTTACTCGGATCTCTGGGGTTCAAGCACACACCTCCGGCTTGCCAGCCCCGGCAGTGCCGCGCCCCTTGCTCCATCCATTTTCCCTCACCCTGTCCAGTATCCTAGCAACCCTGATGACTTGGTCTAGGGATTACTACTTGGATATACCAGATCAGGTGACTGTGGGGCTGTCACCCACTGCCACCTGCTCATGGCCGTCTTCCCCCGCCTCTTCTCCAAGCCTTTACATCCAGGCCCTCCGAAGACCCCAGTCTACAAGCCCTGCCTGGGACTTAGAGATTCACGATCCGCTGTTAGCCCAAGGGAACCCCTTAAAACTGTGCTGGAGCTTCCGTTTACCTTGCAGGAGGAGAGAGGGATGGGGCAAGCAACACAATCCCTTCCTCCAGGGTCCCCCATGAGGGTCAGACCCCTCATGACACTCCTGGGTCTCACACATACATACTGGAGAAGCCTCCAGTAGACCGAGGTCGCCATGGAGACAAGACGCTGGGGACCGAACCAGACCCACCCTGTGAAGAGGGGATCGGAGCCGAGCCGCCGGCGGGCACAGGTCCAGGATCAGAAGTGAGGGGGAGGTCGGTCGGCCACAGCCGGGTCATCCGTATCCATCCTGCCTCTCGCTCCGGCACCCACACCCATACTCACAATTTCCCAGGTTCTGGGTGACCCAACATCTTCCTTACTGACTCCCCGGACCTGCATCTCCCAGGGCGAAAAAGGAAGAAGCAAAGACATGCCACTGCTTCCGAGATGATTCCGCACTCTCGCAGGCCCAAAAAACAAAAGGCCCAGTGAGAAGCCGGAAGCCACCGCCTCACTTTAATCTCCTTTCTGATTGGGCATCTTCCGAAATAGCATCCGCTGATAGGATAAGGCGACAGTTCACCAACCTTCTGATCTTGAATGACAGCAGATGTGATCCAACGGGGCTGGAGGAGGCAAGAAAAAAGAAAAGCAAGTTTTTTCTTGTAGCATTTTGAGGTTGAGTTGCCTCCCTGCACCGGAAGTTGGGGGCAGGAGCAGGATGTGGTGTGCATTGCAGAGCATGCTGGGAACTGTAGTACGAGAATGAGGCCTGGTGGCTTGATCGCTGAGCTGCAGGATTCCATCCCCGTCTGCGGAAGCAGCAAAACACTTCAATGTACCCTGTGAGCAGTTTCAAGGGGAGCCCACATATTTTGCCCTGCTGGGGCAATCCACATCCACCAGTGACATGTTGGACAAACTGGCCATTGCCACACCCACATACCAAAGAAACAAGCCCCCTAAAGAGGAGTAAAAAGTAAAAATGAGTAAATATATGAATAAATAAATAAGAGAAAAAAAGAAATAAGCCCCCAAATGCTCCTGGACAAAAGGAGAGAGTTTGGTAAATCCTTCGGGTCCTCTCCCACTGTGAGAGGTTTTCTGTCCTCAATAATCCTGCTTAAAAAAAAAAAAGAGGGAGAGTGTAAGAGAAAAGAGAATACACAAATGCGAGAAGTTCACGAACTCAGATGATCTCCTTGCGTATAAGAATATTAAAGACAGCTGGACTCGGTGGCTCAGTCTGTAATCCCATGCCTTTGGGAGACTGAGGTGAGTGGATTGCCTGAGCCTGTGGGTTCGAGCCCCGCCTGGGCAGGCGAGACCTCATCTCTACAATAAATCAAAAAATTAGCCGGACATGGTAGCGCGCGCCTGTAATTCTGGCTACTTGGAAGGTTGAGGCGGAAGGATCGCTGAAGCCCAGCAAGTTGAGGCAGCGGTGGCCGGGAGCGGCCACTGCACTCCAGTCTGGGTGACAGTGAGACTCCAATGCAAAAAAAAAAAAATTAAAGACTCTAGGCCAGGCTTTGTGTAGTCCCAGCACTTTGAGAGGCTGAGGGGAGTGGACTGCCCGAGCTGGGGCCTCAAAACCAACCAGGGCAACTTGACAAGACCTCGTCTCTACAATACATCAAAAAAATTAGCCAAGTGTAGTAGTGCTCAACTTTAGTTCTGGCTACTTGGAGGGCTGTGGCTAAAGGATCGCCTGAGACCAGGAGGTCGAGGCTGCAGTGACCAGGAGTATGCCAGTGTACTCCAGCCTGGGGGACAGAGTGAGACTCCAACTCAAAAAAAAAAAATTAAAGACTCATGTTATGCACCCAATGACCCTGGAACAGAGGAGCTTCTAAAACAGGCTCCCAATGACATATTCTCTAGAACCCCCAAAGGACAATGTTTATAATCTTGTGATGCCATTACTGAGCCAGGTCTAATAAATCATCTTCATCCATTAGGAGAAATCTGGATGTTCACTATTGTAAGAACTCATCTCCGTGAGTTTGGAGAGAACTGGACACTCTGTTGTACAAACACAGCACTGTGCTTGTCCGCAGAGCAGGCTGCTGAAGGGGTTGCTGACTATTCATTTGAAAGAAGGATTTTTTTCTCCTGAAAGCAAAATGAGATAAGAAAAGGAACTGGGTGATTTTCAGTACCTGCAGATTCAACAAAAAGTGGAAAATCCTGGCAGAGCCCGTGGGTTCTAGACCTGCCCGGGCAACTTGGTGAGACACGATCTCTACATGAAAAATTTAAAACAATAGCCAGTCATTGTAGCACTCATCTGTAGTTCTGGCTACTTGGAAGACTGAAGCAGAAGGATCACCGGAGCCCAGCAGGTTAACGCTGGGGTAGCCCTGAGCTGCACTCCACCCATGGCGACTGAATGAGACTCCAACTAAAAAAACCAAAAGAGAATCCCAAGCAGCCAGATGAAAAAAGGTGACACACTACAGACTGTAGGATCCAGGTAAGGCCTATTCCTTCATAGGCAGGAGCTCCTCCATCTTAAGCAGCTGGGATCCCCACCTTGGAGCATTCTTCCACAAAATGAGGCCACATTTCCTATTTCTTACCTTGAAAGGAACCCACCAATTATGGCAGAGCTAGGGACGTGGCCTCCTGGGACATCACTTTCTCAATTTTCATCATTCCTATAATCTAGAGCAAGTATTGTGCCTTGAAATCATACCCCAGTGCCATCTGCTTGACCGCAGACTTCTGTTTCAATGGTGGTCAAGTAATGGCCACTCAAGACAAGAAAGTTCAGCCATCATTGCCTCCCTGAGTGGATAAGATTGATGGCTGGTCTTTGGGTTTCTGCCCTCCCTAGTTGAGGTGACTGGTTGTTTTTCAAGCCTGGTGACATTACTGGTCTGGGCCTGCTGGAAATGAGTGGGCCTCAGGAACCCACACACTGTGCCTAGGGTTCTTACCCTGCCTTGGGCAAAATCCTAGTTTTGGTCAGGGCCACATGTTCACTGTATGATCATCCTAGATATCCCTAGTAAAAATGCTCTCATAGAGGTCAGGTGAAGCCAAGATGGGCCCCTGGTGTAAGACTTGTACCCTTTAAGGAAGGCACTGTCACACAAATTGGCCAGCATGAGGAACAAGACATGCTGCTGACTGGCTGAGGTTTTGACAATGCCATACTCATCCTCCTGTTCCAAGGCTTCCATTGTCCAGCTTCCTTATTGATACTGATTTCATAGTGCTGAGGAATTATGTGGAGATTTGGGGCACCTTGCTGGGTGCTGCCCTGAATTTTTGGGGGCCATGTGGGTTACTTTCTCATAAGAAAGTTAATATGTAGGTGTCATCATAAGGGAGGAGGATATCTCAGCATTTACTGTGAACTGGGCAGGCCCTGGTGTTGGAGGTTCAGTGGAATAGCAAAGTGAGGTTGTCCTGTGTTCCCAATCTCACAGGGAACCTAGGATAAGACAGGAGCCCAGCATCCTTGTTCAAAGCTGTGCAATGGAAACCATTGACTCCTGATCTCCAGATGCATGGGAAGCTTCAGGACCAAATTTCAAGCAAGAAATCATCAAACAGCCACAGTCTGTTCTGAGATAGGGGCATGCCTGCCAAACCTGAACCTCCAGGCCCCTGGAAAAGCAACCTGTTTCACTGAAATCAATGGAAGCTCCTACCTGCAGTTGTGCCTCAGTTTGGTAATCAGTCCAAGTCAGGTGATATCAGGCGACGATGGCTACTAATTGAGGGGTGCTGCCACAGTTTTTTTAGTTGTTATCTCACTCTGTCATCCAGGTTGGAGTGCAGTAGCATTCATGGCAACTACAGCCTCAACCTGTTGGACTAGGTGATACTTCTACCTCAGCCTTCCAGGTAGTTGGAATTACAGGCACGTGCCACGATGACAGTTTCTTTCTTTCTTTCTTTCTTTCTTTCTTTCTTTCTTTCTTTCTTTCTTTCTTTCTTTCTTTCTTTCTTTCCATCTTTCTTTCTTTCTTTCTTTCTTTTTTCTTCCTTCCTTCCTTTCTTTCTTTCCTTCTTTCCTTCCTTTCATTTCCTTCTCTCTCTCTCTCTCTCTCTCTCTCTCTCTCTCTCTCTTCCTTTCTTGTCAGACTCTACCTTGTTACCCAGGCTATAGGGCAGTGGCATGCTCCCAGCCACCACTGCCTCCAACTACTGGGCTTAGGCAATATTTCCACCTCAGCCTTCCAAGTAGCAGGAACTACAGGCACATGCAACCAAGCCCAGCTAATTTTTTTTTCTTGGAGTTGGAGTCTCACTCTGTCACCCCAGACTGGAATGTAGTGGCTGCTCCGGGCCATTGCAACCTCGACCTGCTGGGCTCCGGCAATCCTTCCACCTCAGCCATCCAAGTAGCTGGAACTACAGGTGCGCACTACCACGCCTGGCTAATTTTTGATTTATTGTAGAGATGAGGTCTCACCAGGTTGCCCAGGCAGGTCTCGAACCCATGGGTTCAAGCAATCCACTCACCTCTGCCTCCCAAAGTGCCAGGATTACAGGCTGAGCCACTGAGCCCGGCCTAATTTTTGGATTTATTGTAGAGATGAGATCTTACCAAGTTGCCCAGCCTCATCTCAAACCTGTGTACTCAGGCAATCTTCTCACCTCCAGCTTCCAAAAGTGCTGGGATTATAGGTCTGAGCCACTGTACCTGGACTAATTTTTCATTTATTGTAGATGTGAGACCTTGCCAAATGGCTGAAACTGGTCTTCAATGCATGGGCTCAGGCAGTCTACTCACCTCAGCATTCCTAAGTGCTGGCATTATAGGTGTGAGCCACTGTGCCCAGTCTGCTCCATGGTTGTCTAGAGCTGAGATGGTGGGCTGGAGAGACCCAGGGTATCTACCTTGGAGAGGGTCTCCAAGTTGGTGGATGCCTAGAGACTAGATCACTTTCTCCACTGAGCTTATCTGGCTCTCACTGAGGGACCCCAGGGACCCTGGTCCCTGAAGTCCTCATGTTTTCTGTGTGGTGCCCCTATTCTAACATCAAAGACACCATGCAGGAATCTGATCCCAGAGCTAAGGGTGTGTGCAGCCTGGGACATGGTTGCCATTGGGACACCTCAGGCTTCTCCTGTGATGTCTTCCTAGGATTTGGACTGGCTTTGGGCTCCATCCCTCATGCCCTTAACCCAGGGCTACTCTACCTCACCTCACCTTCGGCCCTGGCAAAGAACTCAGGTGGGAGAGGCCTTTGTATTAGCCAAGCTCCTTTGCTACCCTAACATGAAACTTGTCTCCACTGCAG